GCCCGAGACGTTAAACTATTACTATTCCTAGTTCATTACGTCCTGCCCGGGGCGGGGGAAACCCCCAGCTGGCAGCTCAACCCCGAGTAGAATCAGAGATGGTTGTGGGGGAGGGGGGGGCTGGGGAAATTAAACCCTGGGACATTTTAATCCTCTTTGCTTTTGGCCTGCAAACGGGTGGGGGGGGGGGGGGGGGGAGAAAGAAATCGAAGGCCCTTTTAATATCGGAGAGAGGCTGTTGGAGGAAGGAAGCGGCGATGAGACAAAAAGGAGAGAGATTTAAGGCCTGAATGAGAAGGGGAAAAGGAACCTGGCTCTGCAAAGCAGCTGTGCAGGGATTTGGCTTCATAGCTGCGACCAGGACGGTTGTAACGGGGGCCCCCACAAAGCTTAGCAACGGGGCTCCGTTGCAGACCTAAGCGGAGGACTCCCTGCACGGTGTGCAGCCCCCAGAATCACGGCACAGCCTGGAAAAGGGGCGGTGGGAGAAGACCAAGCGGATTTCACAGCCACTGTGAGGCTCCCTCTTCCCCTTACGCGCTGTTGCCTCCGCCGTCCCCGAATTTATCTAAAGTAATCAAAGGATTGCTAATCTCCCCGATTAAGACAAGAGCTCCGGGCTGCCCAGCTGCAGATTTGAAGATCTGGCTGGATCTGTTCTTGCTAGGAAAAAAATAACAAGAGACGGGAGGGAGGGAAGTCGATCCTCTGCTTATGGGCCCCAGCCCCAGAGTCACCTTTCCAACCCAGGGTTCCTCCTTCGATTGTGGGGTGTGTATGTGTGTGTGTGTGTTACAATTCCCATCCTCCCCTAACCCAGAGGTTCCTAACCTTTTCTATACCCCTAAAAAGCTTCTCATACCATTTCCCCCAAAATACGACGCACCCTGAAAGTAAGTCCTAGCTTGATTTTTTACACATGCACCCAATATAAGCCCTACCCCCAAAATAAGCCCTAATTAAGATCACGCCCAATCCAGAGTGGACAGGTAAAAATTAAGCTTGGGTGGGGTGGAGCTGCCCTACTACTTACCTTTGGACAGGTGTAGACAGGCCTCGCACACCCCGACCCCTGCCTTGCCGGCCCATTTCTTCTGCAGCCGGAAAGTCTTTCCTGAAGGCCTCTGGAGCTGATAAGAAAGTTCTGGATCGATCCAGAGCTCTGTTATTGGCTGCAGAGGCCTTCAGGAAAGCTGGCTACAGAAGAAGTAGTTCCTGAAGGCCTCTGACAGCGAAAAGGAGGCCGGGGGGCGACACGCACAAGTGAGGTTAGTCAGTGGATGACACCCACCGAAAATAAGACCTGGTGCCTTTTGGGGTGGCCCAAAAAAATATATAAGACAGGGTCTTATTTTTGTGGAAACACGGTATATTCTCACGCACCTCTTCAAAAATAACGATAAGCATATAATAATTCTGCACACACACACTATAATTTGGAAACTTCTAAACCCAAGTTTTTCGCACCCCCTGGAATATCGTCTCCAGGGTTAAAGACAAAGGAGAAGAGACGAGGGTCTCTGGTTGGTTGAAGGCGGTGGGGGGGAGGATAACCCAGAGGAAAGGGGAAAGAATCCAGCAAAACAGACTCGAGGTTGGTTTGCGGCGTTTTAATGAAACACGTGGGAGATCTCGGGATGCTAATTTTTGCGCTTCTATAATCTGCAGAGAAGACAAGGAGGGGAGAGAAAAGAGGAGTGAAGGAGGTGTGCCATAATTAAAAAACAAAACAAAACAGAAGGAGCTGGAAATTTGCTTTTCACCCCTCGCTACCCCCCACCTCCCAAAGTGAGAAGTGATGGAAGAGAAAAGAGATAAAAATAGATATAAATCAGGTCAACGTTGAACCACCCAGCCTGGATGGGGTAGAAACCCACAGCTCTGGTGGGGTGTCGGAGAAGGGCGTTGGGTTGCAATCCTGTGCCAAGAAGTCCCAGCCTCCATTTTTGGGGTGGGGTAAGCTTCCTTCCATGATTATCTTTCCCACCGAGATGAAATTCTTCAATTCTTAGAATCCCAAAGGTGTTTTTTTCAGGAGGCAATTGGACTTACTTGGGTTTTATTTTTTTTTCCCCAAGAGGAATGCTCAACAATTCTCAGAAAGAGAACTAATGACCAGAGGACTGCCGGGAATATAAATCCTTCCATCCTCCACCATTCAGTCAGAACGGAGTAAGCTTCTCGGATGAGAAGCGAAACGTCTTCAAGGGGAAAAAAACAACAACGAAGCAAGTCCAGGTGCCTTTTGAAAAAGGACCTTTGACCTTTGAGAATCTCCCTAGATATCCCTTCTTAAGACTGAAAATAGGAGGGTCCAGGACTGCAACCAGCTTCAGATTTGGGGATCAAGCCCTCCCAAAAAGAAGTAAACAAAAACGCGAGTTTCTCAACTTCAAATACAAGAGGAGGTTTCCCCCAAGCCTTCAGTTTAGAAAGCCTATAATGGCTGCTCCTGATGGGAGTTGTAATCCATCCCAAAGGCACCAGCCTTGGGAAGGTCAGCCTTAAAGCACCCTTCAACCCAACTGGACCGGTCAGCTGGTCTGGCCAGAGCTCTTCCCAGCCCCAAAGCAACTTACGTGATTTCCCGGAAAGCTCGCTTTTCGACGTATTTCAGTCGGTATTTCCTTTTGAACCTGGGCAAGGAAGAAAGCGCGTTTAATTTAGAGTCCTCTACAGCCGAGGCACGTCCCTTCCAGGGAGGAAGGAAATTAAACCGGCTTGTTTCCATCCAAAGAGGCTGTTGCCCCAAGTTGTGTGCAAGGGAACAGGTGTAGCACTATAAATACTGTTGACATTCCTTGTCCTATCGATCAGTATCACTTAGCTAACGGAAGCTTACATACCTGCTCTCCGTCTTTCGGCTTTAATAATCTTTTTTTTTTAAAAAAAGGGGGGGCTTCCTCAATAGTGTCGGATAATTTGTGTCATTCAACAGTTCCTGTGATGACCCGGGCATGGCACAGCACTATTACAGCTTCTCTGACATGTTGTGATGACCCAAAGGGGCGTGGCACAAAGACAACCCAGTTAGATAAGCAAGAAAAGTCCCTTTATTATCTCCAACTTTGCCCCCAATGTCCAGGTTACCTTCTAGCTGGAGAAAAACTCTCCCAGGGACAGCCTTTAAGAGGAGGAAATTCAGTCCAAAACAAAGTACATACAGAGTGTAACTAAAAATCCAAACAAATCAAACTGAAGTAATTAACTTGACAGGGCAGGAGAAGGAATTGCAGACTTGAAAACACGGCAAAACACACAGTTGGGAAGACGCCAGGAACACAGATAACCAAAGTCAACACAAGATAAACTCATGTTTGCTCCCAGCAGCTGCCGCACTCAGCATGCATTTCTTTTAAACTCTCATTCCCAGCTGTGGCTAATGAAGGGAATCAGGGCCCTTTCCTCCCCCGTAAGCCATGCAACCCACGTTGCTCCCTTCTCTGTTCCCCCCTGCGTACTCTAGGATGAAGAGGGGGTGGGCCTGGGTCTTCCTCCAAATTCCCTCTGCCTTGCTCTACCTCTCCCCTGCTCTGCACAGCCGGCCTTTGCCCTTCCCCAGCCAATGGAGCCACACCCCCACTCCCTGTCAGCTGCTCAGCCTCCCCCTCTGAGTCAGATTCCGACAGGGTTATAACAGTTCCTGATCTAATGTGGGAATAGGTTTTAGGCACAAATACACTAATTATTGCTAATTTATTTATGGAGCCATTGTTTTACCAAAGTACCCAAGGCATGAGGACTACACAGGTAGCCCTCGACTTACAACAGTGAGTTTAGTGACCGTTTGAAGTTGCAAACAGGAGTGAAAGAAGGGACTTAGGACCGTTTTTCACACTTACGACAGTTGTTAGCATTCCTCAGTCACGTGATCAAAATCCAGCCGCTTGGCAACTGGCTCCCATGTATGATGCTGAGTGAGAAATTGGTTAAGAGCGTTTTGCCCCCGTTTTTACGACTTTTCTCGCCAAAGTGGTGAGGCGGATCAGTGCACCTGTTTAAATTAGCCACACGGTTGTTAAATAAATCCAGTGTCCTCCTTGGCTTTGCTCATCAGAAGGACACAAAAGGGCCCCCCGGGGACACTTGAGGCCATCATAACTATGAATTCAGTTGGCGAGCCTTCAGATGTACATCACGCGATCACGGGAATGTTGCAATGGCCGTTAAGTGTGAGAAAAATAAGTCCCTTTTTCCTCCCCCGGTGCCATTGTAAGTTTGAACAGTCACTAAGCAAGCTGTTGCTAAGTCGAGGACTTACCTACAGTTTAACATTTTACAGTACGCTGCTCAAGAGTCCTGCTCTGAGGGGCAGTTCAAAACTGTGAGGAATAAGTTTGAAAAATTTAAAATATGAAGCCGCTCCCGTTATGGTCCTGGTTAGGGGATGCAAGGTACCACTTTCTGCTAGAAAGAAGAGGGGAGCCCCAGATGCTGGTCAGGGAAATGAGCCCACAAGCTCCTTGAAGGAGAGAAAGGGAGGCTCGTGGCTAGAAGCTGGAGGGAAAAACGAAGGTTTCGGTGACCAGCATCGGAGGAGCCCCGTCCCACCGTTTCTCATCCCACCCCATCCCAGGTACTCACTTGGCCCGCTCTCGGGGTTCGATGATGTTGCGCTTCTGCAAGCTCTTGAAGCGGTCCTTCAGGATGCTGCCTTCCGGCTGCGGGAGAAAAGACAAAAGGTGATGAGCCCAGGAGGCCCCACAGCAGAGAACGGGAAGCGGGAAGGAGAAGGGAGGCTCAGCTGGTCTTTGTGTTTCGGAGATCGATTAGGAAAGCTATCAGAGAGGCCCAGAGGGGGTGGGTGGATGGAAGGATGGAAGGAAACGAAGGAAGGAAAGAAAGAAAACAAGAACAGGGAGGGAAGGAAGGAAGGAAAGAAAAGAAGAACAGGGAGGGAGGGAAGGAAGGAAAGAGAACAAGAAGGGAGGGAAGGAAGGAAGGAAAGAGAACAAGAAGGGAGGGAGGGAAGAAGGAAGGAGAACAAGTATAGGGAGGGAGGGAAGGAACAAAGGAAAGAAAGAGAACAAGGGGGAGAGAGGGAGGGAGGAAGAAAGGAAATTCTATTTACAGTACAGGAAGTCCTTGACTTACAACCACAATTAAGCCCAAAGTGTCCGTTGCTAAGCGGCAGTTGTTAAGTGAATCACTGCAGCTGTTAAGTCAGTAACACGGTTGTTAAGTGAATCTGGTCTCCTCACTGACAGAAAGTTGCGAAAGAGATGACCCCGGGGACCCCCTGCAACCGTCATAACTGCGAGTCAGCTGCCAAGCATCCAAATATAAACCACGTGGCCCTGGGGATGTGGCAACGGGTCAGAAGGGTGAAGAACAAGCCACTTCTTTTCAGCTGCAACTTTGAATGGACACTAAGCGAAGGGTTGCAAGTCGAGGGAGCGCCTGCGTTCCTGGTCTCTCCAGCAACGTCTTTGGCCACATCTGCCCAAACCAGATGTGGTTTCCTGCCATTCTGAAAAAGGGACCTCATACAATCCCTACAACAACTTTTTTTTTTTTTTAAAAAGGGGGAAATGAGAAGGGGACAAAAAAACCCAACCCTCCCTCTCCTCCCCCCATCTCCCGAAGAGGCTCTGCGGGCGACGAAAGTCGACCTTTTCACGCCATCTCGGCTCCTCGCGTACATCCAGAGAGGTGCCTTCCTGCTCGGCGGAGAGACGAGCGATTTTTCTCAGGATATCTGCCAGGGTGGGAGGCTGGGAAGGGGACGGGCAGTGCCAGGCTGCGCTGTGGGGAAGAGCCCGCCTGCAAGCCGAGGGTTTCAATAAGGGGCCCTGCTGTCCTCTGAGCTTGGCTCTCTTTACTCAGGTGCTTTGTTACTCAGACCAGGGAACCTCAGAAGTGCTAGTAGAGAGTGGAGTTTGTAGGGAGGAGGAAGAAGAGGAGGAGGAGGACGGTAGGGTCACTGGTGCTCTCTGAGCTTGGCTGTTT